AAAAAAAAAAAACAAAAAAAAACGGGATTTTCCTATCCAACCAAAAAGGGCAGACAGGGCCTCAGTCAAGCTCAGGTTTTCTTCGGGGATGTGCAGTGCTTACCCGAATACTGTACTGGAGTGAAGGCTGTACCCACTCATCATTCCCTGACTCGGGAGAGGAAGCCCGGTCACCGGAGGTTGCAGTTTCTGCTGAGCCTTCGTCCTGAGCTCACCGATGAGGACAGGAGGTTGTGAGGCGTGCGCAAGGTGATCCTTAGGAAAAGGAACACTTCTGTTTATTATCCCAGTTTGTGAGCAGGCTCTCTCTTATATGACTTGACCTCAATTGCTGAGCAGTCGTGAGTTTATTCAGGATTACTGTAGCAGTAACCACCCACACTTCCTGTTTACAGTGGCAGAGTTACAATGGAGTTTAATTGATACATCTTGTGTTTCTCATGCTTCCTACTTGCTCGCCTCCGCTGTTCATCTCTTAATTTGCTTGCTGGACCTCCGCTGGCTTCCGGTTTTTGCAGTTATTCAGCTTGAAAACTGTCTTGCTTAACTCTGTCATATTCCTCCTCCCTCTCTTGGTAAATTGTTCCAGCCCTACACTCTCAGGTCGCTGTCATTACAATTTTGACCTTGCTGAATTTCATTGGTGTCCACAGCTAGAGCGGCATTAGCATTGCGTTTTGGAATTCCCTTCCTAAACCCCACTGCCTCTCTACCTTTCTTTAAAATGTCCCTTAATTCCTTTTAGCTGTTCTAATAGCTCCTTATGCAGGTCAATAGCTAACTTTGTTTGATAAATCGCTTTAGGACACTTTACTACGCCAAAAGGGCCATAAGCAAATCTGTTTGTTAATAGTGTACATATGTGTGCGCTTGTGTTTGCAAGTGTGGGTAGTTGGCACAGATAGAACTTTCTAATGAAGCTAGAAATCTGGAGCACATATCCTGGCTGTTTCCTGCCCATATAAACCCTTGTTAACCACAGTCCCACCAAGATGGCAAGTGCTATTTTTAATTTAATTTAATTTAAAAAAAAAACTAGTAACAGTGTCTTTTAATGTCAGAAGGAATGATTGAAAGAACTTGCATGTATATAAGACATCCTGAAACAGTGAAAGGTGTTAAAGTGCTTCACAGCCACTTTTTAATACTTTGAGAATTTTCGTCATGGCCGTGATGTGGGCGGATCGACAGCCGGTGTCCTAACAGAGCTGTGATAATGTCCAGATATCCTGACTCAGTGATGGTTTTAGCTGACTGATAGATATTCAGTCAAGACTCCTCTTTGAAATTGTGACCATGGCATCTTTCATGTCTGGGAGGTTACTTGCTATAACTTCTTATGGGAAGACTGGCACCTCTGACAGTGCTGGGCAGAAGGGGAGAAAGCCTGATAAGGATGTTTACAAGTTACGAAAGCGGTCCAACTCGTCCATGTCGCCCCGATATCCTAAATTAATCCAGTGTCCTTTGCCAGCATTTGGCCTATATCCCTCTAAACCCTTCCTATTCATGTACCCATCCAAATACCTTTTAAATGTCATAATTGTACCTGCCTCCGCCACTTCCTCTGGCAGCTCGTTCCATAAGTACACCACCCTCTGCATGAAAAAGTTACCCCTCAGGTCCTTTTTAAATCTTTCCCCTCTCTCGTTAAACTTATTCCCTCTAGTTTTGGTCTCCCCGACCCTGAGAAAAAGACTTTGCCTATTCACCCTATTCATGCCCCTCATGATATTATAAACTTTGATAAGGTCATCCCCTCGGCCTCCGACACTCCAGGGAAAATAGCCCCAGCCTATTCAGCCTCTCCCTGTAGCTCAAACCCTCCAACCCTGGCAACATCCTTGTAAATCTTTTCTGTACCCTTTCAAGTCTATTAGTCAACTTGGTTGTGCAAGTTATTCGACTCCTACTCCTGTCCTAGCTTGCTGTGCATGCACTGGTTGCATGTGGTAAACCATTGGGAGAAAGAGCATGTTCATCACCCTTCTTTTAACTTCGAGGTGTTGAGAATCTAATTGCAGCGTTCCTCTGGTTGCTGTGGCTGTGGGACTGATTCCTGAGCTTTTGGGGAATGTAGATACAATCCCGTTGTTCATTAGATTAATATTGTTGAGCCATTGCAGGGACAGCGAGAGGGAAAGAAAAAGATAGTGAGGTTAACAAGTGCTGGCGTTCAGTAATTGAATGCAGCATGGCTTGATAAAGTGTCTTTTAAGTGTTAAAAGATAGTTTTGTTCATTTCCTCCTGCCCACCCCAAAATCCTCGCCGAGCACAGCTATTGCACGCCCAGCACTTAGCAAGCGTGCCAACCCCTTCAAAAGAACTTGTTGAAATGGAGCAGGAAAATGTATACAGGGTTTGCCACAACTTTCACCAAGCCTATACGATAGATTGTATTTTGTTAAAACAAACGGGCAGGAAATATACAATTAACAGTCAGGCGTTACATAGACAGGGTGGTTTAAGAACGTGTTTAGCATGCTTGTCTTCATTGCTGAGACTTTTGAGTATAGGAGTTGGGACATCGTGTTGAAGTTGTACTGGACTTTTTCTGGAGTACTGTGTGCTGTTCTGGTTGCCCTGTTATCAGAAGGATATTATTAAGTTGGAGAGGGTTCAGAAAGGATTTACCAGGATGCTGCCGGGTATGAAAGGTTTGAGTCATAAGAATAGTCTGGGACTTCTTCCACTGGAAAGGAGTTTGAGAGGTGACCCGATAGAGGTTTGTAAAACCATGAGGGGCACAGATAAGGTGAATAGCAAAGGTCTTTTCCCTCGGGTGGGGGATTTCAAAACCAGGGGGCTTATTTTTAAGGTGAGAGGAAAAAGATTTTGCAACGTTTTTATACAGTGTGGTTTGCATGAGGAATGAATTGCCAGAGGAAATGGTGGATGCAGATGCAGATGCAGGTGCAGCTACGGTGTTTAAAGGGTATTTCAACAGATAGGTGAATAGGAAAGATTTGGAGGGATATGGGCCAAATGCAGGTAGGTGGGACTAGTTTAGTTTGGGAACAAGGTCGGCATGGATTGGTTGGACTGAAAGGTCTGTTCCGGGGCTGTATGACCTAACTCATGGTTAGAGGGGTGGCTCAGTGGTTAGGGCTACTGCCTCACAGTGCTAGGGACCCAGGTTCGATTCCACCCTTGGGAGACTGTCTGTGTGGAGTTTGTACATTCTTCCCGTGTCTGTGTGGATTTGCTCCGGGTGCTCCAGTTTCCTCCCACAGTCCAAAGATGAGCAGGCTAGGTGAATTGGCCATGGTACATGTGGGGTTACGGTGATTAGGGTGGGAAGTCTGGGTGGGATACTTTTCGGAGGGTTGGTGCAGACTCAATGGGCTGAATGCCCCCTTTCCGCACTGTAGGGATTCTGTGATCACCTGTAAACAATCCTGTGCTTTGTTGTAAGAAATGTGGGATCTTACCACCCAAGAGGAGACTCCTCTGCTCGCTATCTCAAGGACGGTCAAGGATGCGTAATAACTCCTGGCCAAACCAACCATCTGTACATCCCGTGAGTAAATACATTAAAGTATACTGCCCATTCTGCTTCTCCCATCCTGCCCTTCCCAATACATTTTCTTGAAGTGCTGCAAGTTTTCTGTTTCCATTCTCTGCACGATTAACCATTTCCCTTTTAAAACCAGTAAATGATCTGCCTTCTCCTCAGGAGCTACATTCCAGCTCCTTAACCAGTCACTACATAAAAATATTTTCCCCTGTGGCAGCTTTGATCATTTTACCATTTTCCTTAAATCTGTGGCCTCTGTTTCTTGATCTTGGTGGGGAACAGTTGCTCTCTTTTGACCCTGACTATTTCCCTTATGGTATTAAACATCTGTGTTAAATCTCCTCTCAACCTCCTTTACTCTGAAGAGATCAACGCCAGCTTTTCCAAACTCCCCATATAATTGAAGTCCCCCCCCCAGTCATGGAACCATTCTTGTTAGTCTTTTCTATACTGTCTCCAAAGCCTTCACAAGGTGCTGTGCTTCAGTTGATGCCAGACTAATTTTGTTTAAAGGCTCACTGTAAGTACCTTGCTTTTGTATATCTATGTAAGGCGGGGGGGATTGTTGAGCTCAGTTAAATGAATGTTGGGTTTGCAATGCAGAGTGACACCAACAGCAAGAGTTTAATTCCTGCTATTATTACACAAGGCACACCCTATTTAAACCAACAGAATTCAACACCCAGAAAGAAATTTGTGGAAGAGATAGATAGTTGAAGGGTTCAGGAGAGTGGCAGGAAAGGGGAGTTGAGACTGAGATGAGATCAGCCACCATTGTAACGATTGACAGCAGTTTCGAGGGGCTAACTGTCTACTCCTGCTCCTAGTTCTTATGTTCAACAGGGAAGCATTCGAGTGTGTGTAAACCTGAACATTTACCCTCGCTCACTGAGCCTGAATGCCTCTTATGGGGACTATCAGACACCTAGAAAATTCAACACTCGCCACTCACCACTTTTGAGTCTAATAATCCTCAACCCAACCTGGGATTAAAGATCTTGATCCTGACAAGAGCCCCAGTTTGTTATGGACCAGACTTCAAAATATATGAAAACATAGCGTAGACCCTAACTTTTTCTTCTTTTAAAGGCAAGTGCCAGGCATTGCATTCAATTGGTCAAACTATCAATCTTGAAGCAAAACGCGCTTTACTATAGTTAAAATACAACAAAAGAAAGAATTGGAATAACTTAAACTCTATTGTTCCAAAATATAACATCCCATAAATGTACACTTGGCAAAAGCAAATTCCGTAAACTAGATTGTCTCACATGCAATTCTAGCAGCAGGAAGGGAACCCCCAGCTTTTAGCTGTAACAGAGAGGATACAGCTTCCACATCCAGTTTCAAGACCCCAGCAGCAACTGCTACTGAAGGCTAAAACAAAAAAAATTCTGATTCTCTGGGAGCTTGACCCCACCTATTCAGGCTGCTTCTATTGTTCCAACTTTCTTTATGAAAAAAAAAGCCCCAAGACCTCGCAAGCAGTTTACTTTATTAGCTTTACAGCAGTGTGTCCCAAACTTACTTCATAAAAATAACCAGGACCAAATACACCTCTTAAAGCCAGAGTATTGTCACAGAGAGCAGCCTGATGATCTGACAGGGCTATGGTGACTTTACATTATAAAGCCCTGCGTCTGTGTCCCTCATTTATCACTTTGCTGAATGTGGCAGGGCTAGTCATCGGTTTGTGCACATACAGCACCAGGTGCCACTGCTCCTTTAGAATTGTACCCTGTGTTTTATTGTCCCCTCCTCGTTCTTCCTGCTAACATAGGTCAGTTCTCACTTCTCTGTATTAAATGTGTCTGCCCGTTTCACCAATGTGATTGTGTCCTCGCAGAATCTATTGCAGTTCTCTCTCAGGTCATGAGGGTCTTGTCTTTTCTTGACTTCCCCCAATCATCCACAACAAGTCATTTCCCTAATGATAGTCCCCATAAGCGACATTCAGGCTCAGCGAGCGAGGGTAAATGTTCAGGTTTACACACACTCAAATGGTTCCCTGTTGAACGTAAGAACGAGGAGCAGGAGTAGACAGTTCAGCCCCTCGAACCTGCTCTGTCAATCGTTACAATGGTGGCTGATCCCATCTCGGTCTCAACTCCCCTTTTCTGCCGCTCTTCTGAACCCTTCAGCTATCTATCTCTTCCTCAAATTTCCTCAGTGCACTGGCATTCGTCACACTTGGGGGTAGTGTAACCCACAGGCTTTGAGGGGAGTAATTTCTCCTCGCCTCTGTTTTAAATCTGCTGCCCCTTATCCTAAATCTGTGACATCTCGTTCTAGATTGCCATACGGGGAAAACAGTCTGCCTATGTCCACTTTGCCAATCCTTTTTACCTTCTTATATGTCTCAATTAGGTCTCATCTCATTCTAAACTCCACATATGATAGATCTAATCTGCTCGCAAGGCAAACCCCTCATCTTTGGATACTGTGTCTCAGATATCTGTGTCTTAGCTACTGTAGCCTTGGAAGCTCACCTCCCACATCAGAGATAGCAAAAACTGCAGATGCTGGAGTCAGAGATAACACCGTGTGGAGCTGGAGGAACGCAGCAGGCCGGGCAGCATCAGAGGAGCAGGGAAAGTTGACGTTTCGGGTCAGGACCCTTGTTCAGAAATGGGGAGGGGGGAAGGGAGCTCTGCCTGGCCCGTTGTGTTCCTCCAGCTCCATGCTGTCTCACTTCCCACATCATTTGCTTCTGTTCGTGCCCCATTGGCAGTTATTACATAATGCAGGCTCCTTCCTTTCACTTTTTAGCTCTGAGTTGCATAAGTTACCAAGCTGGATCTTCAAGGCTGTCAGGTTTTTCTTGTTGCCAGTATGTCTTTCCTGTTGTGGTACGATAGCTTTTAATTCAAAATAAAACCTTTCGAGGCAGTGCTGGCCCTTGAGGGAGCTTTTGGGGTTGAGGACAGAAGATTCGTAGTGTTTGTAGAGATTCCTGGAAGGCCATTAGTTTTTTTTCTTAGTCACTAAAAATACGCAGAAATGTTTGACACAACTAGTTTTAATGATTTCCCCAAAATAGAGCTTTGAATGCATGGATTCCTACAGCCCGTTGAGACCGTGCTGTTCTCTGTAAGACCCTATCCAGTGAGTCCTATGTACTCATTCTTCCTCTAAGCCCTGTATGTGTTTGTTTTCTGAAGGGTATTTTGTTGTGTGTACTGTATATATAATGTACAGATGTATGTTGTTTCTCAACTGATGGTGGCCTTGACTATCTGGTCATTTGCCATACTGTTTGTGCATTTTGAATGTTAAAAGGAGAGTTGATTTGCACCAGGAACAGTGAACATCACTAAATTTGGAGAGAATTTTGAAGCTGTTGTTGAAATTGAGGGAAGGTTTAATATGTTTTTAATTACGAATGGTGCTTTTGGCAGATTAATCAGGGAGACACTGAACTAGTGGTAGTCAGGCCAGTTGCGAGATTGAAAACAATTGTCAAAACAACCAGAGGGCAGAGGAGCGAGTTATGCTCGGCACGAGAGCAGATTCAGTTATACCTTCCCAAAAGGAATTGGGTATGTTACGGCAAGGGGAGAAAGTTTCAGGGGCATCGAGAGAAGTGTAAAGCGATGCATTTAATCAGATCATTCCTTCGAAAAGCTATCACAGCCCTAAGGGGCTGAATAGTCTTCTCCAGTGCTCCATCGTCCTTACTGGTATAGGATGCTCCAATTCAGAGTTGTCAGATCCTGCAACATGCTCCTCCTGCACTGCTTCACAATTTGCTGAAGCAAGAGCTGTGCCAACACCTTTCTTGGACGGCAGCTAAGTGGCCGCTGATTGGATTCTGTTAATTTAGCAGGACGCCCTCTAAAGTGCTCCAATCTCTTCTGTTTCAGGGTTCTGCCGATCCCCGCCGGTGATGATCGCTGGAGGGCGTGTTTTTGTTTTGCCATGCGTGCAGCAGATTGAGAGGTAATGAGAGAACTGGTGGGACAGTGGGTCAGACCCTGTCCTCGCCCCCCCCCTCCCTCTGGGACTGGGTA